CAAACATCGCGTCGCACATGGAACACCAGCAGCGTATTTTTTTAATTCGCGTTTCTCTTCTTTTACACGTTTTTCGTTCTGTCTTTGTTCTTTTCTGGGTTTCCTTGTTCCCTCGCTCGCTCGTCGACTCGCTTCCTCGCTGTCTCCCCACCCTCCGCCTTCCTCACACCCCCTTCTCTTCGTCGTCTCTTTCTATATACGTACAGATATGTGTATACATTCATGTACGGTACATAGACACGCGCGCGCGCGCGCGCGCGTCTTCCTCTGTGTGCACAAGTACTTTTTTCCTTCTCTTTCTCTGCTTGTTACCGCCCCACCTCGTCCTCTCACTATACCGATCTTTCTCTCGCCCACCACGGTCAGTTTCTTCTACACTATCCCGATCGTTGCCACACTGAACACCTCTTTTTAGACACGCACATCGCTGTTAGGTTCCCTTTGTTTAACGAACCGACGAAAATTCCAGCGAATTCCTACCACCAACGAACTCAAGTCTTTCCCATTGGATTCTACGGTTCTTATCCTGAACGGTGTGAAACGTGTCGTAGAAGCACTCGCGCGACCAGCTTCAAACCGACATGTCGGGAAAACATGAACCGGTGCGCTGCCAGCCGCGAACTGTTGTTCTAGTTGCCCAAACTCAGATGTCGTGTCGTCGTTCTGTAATACAGGCGGAGCATACTCGCTCCCAGAGTCCCGCTCATTGGCTATCTACGCGCGACCACGCGTCACGTGACTATGCCGGCGAATATCGATTCGGGTTGCGCTGCGGCGGCATTTTTAAGTTTTCGTCGAAAAGAGGGGGTATGGGATTCGCGTACTGTGAACCACGTTGCGTCCACACCACCGTTCCTTCAATTTTCCTTCAAGTAGCACATATTCCCTTTTCCAAATTTCCTTTTAATCCTTTATTTTACATCTTTCTATCCCGTTTTTCTAATAGTTTCTATTCTCGATTATCTCGATGCGATGTTAGATTTTTTTTAGAGAAAACATTGCGTCCGAAAGACATTTCATTTTATTCTTAAGGATAAGTAAAATGTACCGTATATAATGAAAAGTATGTCGAATTGAGATCTTTTCGGAAATATTCACTGAAATTTTTTGTTGTACCTAAGAAAAATTCAAAACAAGTGTTTATGCATAGTTGTACTTCAGCTTGCAATACAGGTTGCGTGTCGCATTGAGCAAATCCAGATCGTATGAATTCAAAAGTAGAATAGATTATACTCGAGATTCTTGAATACGTATGTTCTTGCATGGATAGCCGACGATGATTTTGAATGTATAATCGATTACTGACTATGACATCCACGGAATAATAAGATAAAAATTCGATTTCATAATGTATGATATACTTTAGAATTCGTCGCAGTATGTTAATAATAATAATTTAATTGAGATTAAAATGATAAGTAAATAAACATAGAGTATATAAATTTATTTTACTGCATATTCACGAAATGACTTTTATACATTCGAGAAGTTGTTAGTAATTTCAATAAAAAATTTAGTTTGTGTCAAATTTTGAAATAAAAAATAAATTATTTATGTTAGAGTGGAAGGTATAAATATATGTATTCATAAGTTTAACGAAGATAGCATAGGGAGTAAGATAACAAGCAATTAAAAATTACGTATACGCGTAAACTGCTATTTGTTTATTTATTTGTAGTTTCAAGTATATAATAGTTCATATTACAATGTATAACTGTATAACAGTAAACAATATCGAATATAATTGATTAGAATACTTGTGATATGCCACTAAAACTGGCAAGTAGAATATTTACAAGTTATAGGATGCCGCTTCATTGCCTTGTTAAAAAGATATGTTGTACAGATCAAAAAATTGCAACAACATCAATTGTGTTAATTCATAGGGTATCATTCGTGACGGTATTACAGCGGCAGCTGGATAGATATCCTAACTATTATCACAGATGGAAAGAAGACATTTATCATATTACTATAGCATATATAGAGTGTAACACCATAATATGCAGCATATAGTTTAGGGATGGGGTCAATATTTAGAAAACAGAATAATTTAAATATTGTTATAAAGTCCTTAATGTCTAATGACATATCAAATAATTATAATATAAATTCTTTTAAAAACTTGATCTTTTAAAAGTGTTTTTTACTGATATATAAATGCATGTCACAATATGTATCCCTTAAGGTATACACATAACGTACGAAGGTATATACATAAAAGTTATTCAAAAGCAAGACTGATTTACATACATTTTCACAAATGTATTTTATTGTTTTCCGATTCTTAAGTATATTGTATAAAGCACTCCCATCTATCATGTTACACACTTTATAGCATTCCAACTCCATTGTATTTACTACCATCTTCAACAAATTATTGCATACTTACACACATGTTTATCTTCCCTGCTTTAATAAAGATTTTAATTTTATGCTTAACAAAGAACAATTTTACCAATGATTTTCATGTCAGTGTTACAATTATGCAAACCAAAATGCACACAAATGTGAAAGGCCTATTAAATCGTTCCTTACTTTAATCATGTATAATTTAAATTATAATACTATAACAGCATAAATCACTCGCATAATATTTCTAAAGACTAAAATTTACATATACGTGTATTTATGGTTCCCAGTATTGTACCATTAGTATTTAACGAACTTTGTAAAAATATTCTTACATTAAACATGGATTTTTTGTTAATAATATACTTAGCTAACAAATTAATACTTCATTTGTGATCAAAGAAAAAACTGTTTTGTTGCTCTGAAACAAAATCTTTAATTTCTAAATACTGTGATGTAATTTCATCCTGTGCCACATAAAAAGCTTGCCTCTGTTATACCGTAAATACTTTCTACTGTTTATTTTAATCAATTTGTTTAGAGTGCACGAAAAAGCGTCATCAAATCGCAGGAACCTTACACAATAAAATATGCTAAGTTATCTAGTAATAATATTGAT